TCTCGGATACGGATCCAGAACTGAATTCTTTAAAACAAAATGGCCGCCAGTCGGCTATTTCGAACTTGATCCGAAAAAAAAATGACGTGCATCAAGGTCCTATTATGTTTAATGTATGTACCAAATTTGAACAAAATCCGTCCATGCATAACTGAGATCCGGGTCCGGAATGGTGAAAATGTGCGATTTCAATGCAGTTTTCGGCCTTAAAGCGGCCGCCATTTGGCTATCGTTAATGAGATCATGAAACAAATGCACATACATATTTGTGACATGATGTACCTTGTGTGTGTGAAGTTTGAACTCGATCAATCCAAGCATGTCTCAGATACGGATCCAGAACTGAATTCTTTAAAACAAAATGGCCGCCAGTCGGCCATTTCGAACCCGATCCAAAAAAAAAATGACGTGCATCAAGGTCCTATTATGTTTAATGTATGTACCAAATTTGAACAAAATCCGTCCATGCATAACTGAGATCCGGGTCCGGAATGGTGAAAATGTGCGATTTTGATGCATTTTCGGCCTTAAAATGGCCGCTATTCGGCTATCGTTAATCGGATCATGAAAAAAATGCATGTGCATATGTCCCATATAATGTGTGATGTATGAGTGAAGTTTGAACTCAATCGGTCCATGCATGTTCGAGATACAGGTGATCACGGACGCACGGAAGCACGGACGCACGGACGCACGGACGCACACAGGGCAAAACATAAGTCCCCGTTTTCGGACTGCGTCCGAACGGGGACTAATTAGAGAATTGAAGTTATCATCTGAAATGAACAAATCTAAGTGAGGTCTACCCAAGCTACAAATACAACAAGTATCGAAGCAATCCCGCTTGTACTTTTCAAGAAGAAGTCGAAAAAGTAAATGATAAGCTGAGCTCAACAACGTCTACAGCGGAGCTAATAAAGATACATACCCCACACAATTCACAACTTGTACCAAGCATCTTATAGCCCTTCAGCATGTAACTGCCCATCAGAGAACTGATTTTATCACTTCGTTCTCTTTTGGCACGTATTATCTTCATCTCAGACTCAGTTGGAGGTTCCCAATGGTAGTCGTCTGGATCCATACCTAGTGTTAAACATGAGCCCAACTATTATATCAAGTCACTGCAATTGATAAGGTACTTTTCCCAACACTAGTTTTTATCAAGGGATATGAATATTAAGTACATGTATATCAAATAATTAGTAAACATATTATGGAACAAAGCAGAAGCTCTAAACACAATATTTACAGGTAAAGTTATTTTCTAAAGGTATGCCTGCAAGAAAGATCTCAGTTAAATCATATTGGATGAACTTGCCATTTATGGATTGAAAACCTAACACTGAATTAAACTGAAATTTACTTGTGCACATGTTTGAGAATAGGATTATGTTATTCCTCATTTTTTTTATAGATTATTATGGAAAATTCAAACCATGTACAATTTGCATTTTATATTTTTTTAGGTTTTTATGATGCATACATGTACAACTCATAAAACTGGGTTCAAAAGGACTCGGAATGATTTTTTTTAACATAACCTTTAATAATTAATACACAATATATATAGACTATAGTATAAAAGAAGTTGTAGGGTGCCTGAATTTTCACTAAAATACAGACTACCGGTATTATGCATGTTGGGCAACTACAGAATTTTGTTACTATTACAAACTAGTCAATGCTGTTTTATTCTCATTACAAGAGCAGGTTGGCGGAAAAGACATCACGCCATCAAGTTTACTGGACAGAACAACAGTCAGAGCAGCGAATGGAGAAATCTCAGAAAACTCACAAGGTTCTTGTTTAGTGACTTGGAGACCGATCACGTCAGATACATCATCGTTGAAAGACAATTCTAACTCGGCCTTACGCTTACGACTCAAAAGTTGTCGCTCTCTATCCTTGCGATGTTTCTGTTTTGTCACTAACAAGTACCACTGTTTTTCAGACCAATTAGAGCAAACGTCACAGGTAATATCTTGGTTACAGGGACGGCAATGTCGACAGAAAGCATGGTCATCTTCTATTGACATGAGACGTCTACAAGACGATTTCTGACAGTGTTTCTGTGGCATAATTCACTGGAACAAAAGAGACGAGGATGAAAGATGAAGATGGTGTTCTCCATAGGTGACATCATGCAGCCCAAGACCAATAATGTAGTTCATACTCAGGATTCAGTTTTGTTTTGATATCACAATTTTTATTTTGAATTGTCAATTGTCAGTCAAAGGGAAACCAATAAATAAAATCAAAACTAATATAAACTTTGTTTATTGAAATATTGTAACCTCCAATAAACATGTAGTGTTCCCGTCGAATTTGTTTAGTGACTGTCAACAGTAGTGCCAAATATGACAGCCATGATTCAAAGTGGAGAGTTTATTTGTGTGATTCATTCCTTTATTCTGCCCATGACATTCATAATGCATTTCTAGAACGAGAATCAGATTACGAAACAGATGCATGTGTAAATGGGTTGCATGATGTATGTGTAAAGTTTGAACACGATCGGTCCAGCCATGTTAGCAATATGGCTCCAAAATCAGTATTCGTTAAAAACAAAATGTCCACCAGTCAGCCATTTTGTATCAAATTTGGAAAAATTGAGGTGCATCAAAACCCATTTATGTTCAGTGGACATACCAAGTTTCTAGAAATATGTCCATAGACCATGTACAACCAAGATCCAGACTCTGAATGGCAGAAATGCTTGATTTTGATGATTTTTGAGTAAAAAAATAATCACCATTCAGCCATCCTGAATTGGATCATGAAACAAACATGTGAATATTTATGCTATGATGTGTGTCAGTGTGTGTTAAGTTTGATGAAATCAGCCCAGGCATGTCTGAGATGCAGATGCAGACAGATGAACGCACAGTGGTAAAATTATAAGTCCCAGTTTTCAGACTACGTTTGAACTGGGACTAAATATAAAGTTGGTTTTTAAGTTCCATCGTAGTATAAACATTTGTTGGTGTACAGATCCATTTCAGAAGCAGGCTTTATGTATTTTACCAATTTGATTTACCAGGGTATTCTAATTCTGTTGGACATGTACAGGTAAATTGCATGCAGTATTACATTATTATTAGTATCCATTGCAACATAAGATTTGATTTTGCATGTGAAAGAGGAATTGTTCGACTTGCTCATAAAAATATACAGTTTTCTGCAAAGAATTTACAATACCAACTACTGTACAATACTTTATTTTTGCTTGGAATTAATTTTTGGTATTTTCCCTAAGGGAATGATTCAGTGAAAATAAATTCCAAACAAAACACCCAAAAAGCCTTTTCAGCGAAATTAATTCCAGCTAAAATAAAGTATTTTACAGTAGTCTGTTTTGTAATGAACTACTTGATAGTTCTTCTTGAAAGTTAATGACATGTTTGTATAATATAATGTACTGGTATCATCTTGGCATCCATCCATACATACATTCCAAGATATCACCATGAGGCACAGAGAAAACAAATCAACAACAGTGATAGTCTCAAAATGACTGGTCATAAAATCACTCACATAGATGCATATAACGCAATTAGATGCTATACGAAATAAGAACTGATGTGCACTCAGTAATGTAGCAATAAGAGAATTTTAAATTTGTCTAAATCAAATGTATTATTATTTTTTACAAGAAAATAGGCTATTTCCCCCACATTTGTATCAACATCGGTCATGAGTCAGGGTCAATGCTCTCTACTTAGATTCTGAATTTTAAATCGTGATTAATACATCCCAAAGTTTTCAATGTCCTAGGCAAGTTTTCATCGCATGATTTCATTGAGACCTTCATTGCAAACAATTATTAGTTGTAGAAAAGATTGTTTGCTTGCACTTCCCTTAAGTGAAGGCATTTGTTAAAGCACAGTTAACTATACTACGGTAAACATTTTGTTTATACCACATCTCAAAAACATGTGGCTGTGTGTTATTAAAGTTGTATTGTTGACAACATTTGGTCTGAAGCCTTTAATATGTCAAATAATATGTGTTATAATCACAGGGAGCCCAGGAACTATAATCAACTCTATGAGCGCGGGGTGGGGGTGGGGGTGGGGTGTTATCGGCTGGTATCTAGTGTAAGAAATAGACAAGGGATAAAGGCTCCAGCTAGCTCACATTTTTTAAACTCGAAAAAACAGACGAAAAGAATGAAAAATAAAATCTAAAAAAAATACCAGGTCTAAGAATATTAGTTGCTCCTTCAAATTTTGCCAAAGCCGAGGTCACGACTCGGTTAG